AGCGTCTATTTGGAGCATTGTGTTTTAAGATTTTTGGTGAATGCCCAGCCCTCTTTCCTAATATAAATTATGTAAAAATGATGCTCCTGCCAATTCTCTCAGTTCCCAATATCATCAAAAGGAATAGAATATATCCCAAGAAACTTTGAAAAGGGACTAGATAAATTCATGGAGGACAGGACTATCAATCTTGAAGACTCATTGTTACCTCCTTGTCGGGGACAGCATATCACTAGGTACAAGTTGCAGGGGAATGGTTGGAGACAGGTATGTCTCCATCTTTTGCTTATGAGAACTTATCTTTGCTTAAGTGAATGATGGAGTCCTGAGAGATCAAACTGCTATGGTGAGATTGGGAAATCCTAACAACAATATTGGGAACTACCAACAACATTGAAACACTCATGTCATATAAGGATGAAAGGGCCCGTGGAGACTTTGTTGTTCTAAATCATGCCACCATGGATTGTTTTACAGACCTCTGCTGAGTTGCATCAGGGAAAGATGCCAAGGACTCTGCTGGACCTAGAGAAGATCTGCCATGATGCAGCAGAAACTGCAAAGAAGGGTGAAAACATTTATAACCAGTCCAAATGGGCTGGATATCCAGGAAAACAGGATACAAGTCTATACCTCTCATTAATACATAGAAATAGATGGGGAAAAAAAGTTATTGGGATTGAAAGGGACACATTAGTGTCCAGTATCAATGTGGACAACAGTGGAGGCATCATACTGGAACTCAGAACCAGCTTTGAAACTTTCCTTTGCATTTCGAGCACTTGGATTTATAAGACTTCTTATCAGCACTGAGTCTGAGATAGTCCATTTCTTCAAGGTCAGTTTATCTCCCAAGGGTTAATAGGACCCAAAAACCCCTCGCTAGAAAGTACCAATGAAGTGGGCAATTGATGATCTCCATCCATTCATACAATCCAGGTTGCACAAGTGGAGCGTGAAGGCTTAGTGAGGCTTGATTTGACCAGTGAAAAATAGAACATTTGCAGAAGTACAGGGGAAAAGAAAGGAGAAAAACCACTGTGAGAAGGAAGTCTTCCTCCCGCAATACCGTCTTCCTCCTTTCATGCACTTTTCCTGCGGTAGCCAGGGCAAAAGGTTAGAATGAGCCTTTTGAGAATCAACACAAAGATTAAAATCCAGCAGGAAAGTGCCAGCCTGCAGGAGGGGCCAGACTTTTCAGGTGCATATTCCTTTCAGGCTGACTCCTTTGATTAAAGAAGAAAGGATCCTTTCCCCGAGGAGATTGTCGTTTCAATCAGTGATGCTAAACAGGTGGAAATCACAACTCAGCAGGATGCCTGGCTGAAGAGCGTTCTGGCTTGGTGCATTTTCTCAGAATTCCTGAAGGGGGCGCTTTCATGTGCTTTCGAGGAACAATAGCAAGATTTTTCTATATCAGTGTTTCTCAACCGTGGCAGCTTGAAGATGTGTGGACTTCAGCTCAACTTCCCCCAGCATGCTGGCTGGGGAATTCTGGGAGTTGAAGTCCACACATCTTCAGGCTGCCAAGGTTGAGAAACACTGCTCTATATAAAGGCTAAAAGGGGAGGGCTCAGCGCGGCTGCATCTGACAGCTGACTCTGTATGTTGGGCTCTCAGAAATAAACTTCATCTCTGTTTCAAGCAACCACCTGTGCATTTTATTCTTGGCTTGGAAACAAACTTGGTAAGATTTCTTTCTAATATCACTATTTCCTTTTCCCATAAAACAAAACCTAGCGAGGGACAGATGTGATTGACATAAATGTTGATATGGAGGGAAATAATGGACTTTTGCATTAAGCAGGGGGTTGGACTTGATGTCCTTAAAATCCCCTTCCAATTCTAGAGTTCTCTTGGGGCCACCAAAATATTCATTAAAACAAAACATGACTGGTTTAAATCCTAAACAGAAGCGTTCTACACTGCAACTTTTTTTGTCACATCATTTGTTGAAATGAACTGGAACTAATTAAAAATAGTTGTCTCCTTCTATCCACTTTTCAAGAAGGCTAATGCTGAAAACCATTCTGGTGGATTATGTCCAACTCTTTATGTACAACAATTGTTTAGTATTAATGCCTAAATCTGCCAAAGTGGGACAAAAATGCCTGCAGTATTTTACAAGAAGAGAAAACAAAACAAAACGAAAACAATACTAATTGAACTAGGATTTAAATTCTAGGATTTATTATACTTAGAAACAGAACAAATTTAAGCCAGAAAACTAATTATTCCAATTAAAACCTCTTTGTAAAAACGTACAGTGATTTAAAAGGCAACCTCATTTAAACATGGTACCAGTTAACGGACAATTTATAAAAATTCTTTGTAGGGCATTACACCAAGAAGATTTTCAGAAGAGGCTTAAAACAATAACGCTTAGGAAGTCATCCTTTAGAAAAGATACCTATCTTTATAAAGAAACCTCACAAAGAAATGGTTAAGCCCCCAGACCCATTTTTTGGCAATAAAACAGAAACATAATGGGAAGGACCATGGTGTTCATTTAACTCAAATACTCAATGGTGCTTTAGCGTCTCATTAGACAAGCA